CTTCCAGTTCCTTTCAAAGGTAAGACGTGGAAGAAACTGCTACTTCTGCTCCCGACAGCTGTTGGAATCAACTTTTCTTTGCGCTCCGCCGGTTGGACCCACCCTCCTTTTGATGGACACATTGTCATCAGGCTACACCTACTTTTCAACTCTGCCTTGATTAGTTGAATTTCCAAGGAAAGGCTCTACCAACCTTGTGAAGGTCGAGGGATCAAGCAGCGGTGGGCGTGGAGGTGGGTGTGGCTCAGCTCCGCGCCGGGTGGGGTTGGTCGCCGGACCTGCCAGCGCAAGGTCACGTTCAACCAAGAGCAGGCGGGCAGGGGCAAGTCCCCCCACACCCCCTACCCACCCCCTCCTCACCCCGCGCCGCAGTCATTGGGCCCCCCGCCACGTGAGAAAGCCTCTTTGAACCCCCATCGCCCAGTTTTAAAAAGAAGTAGGCACTCAGTAAATCTCTACTGAACAAATGAACGTAAGTATAATCAAATTTAAGCAGTTATATATCAATGGAAGAAAATCGATTTTGGTGGAGGCAGTTTTTACCCCCTGGAATGCACACCACGCCTTTCCCTGTGCCTTCTCTTCTCTTCCCCCAAACTTCCTCCCCATCTCACCCTACCCCCAGTCGCAGAGAAACTCCTATTACTGCTTTTTCTTTTTCAGCCATTATGTGACTGTTCGTGTCTCTAAAGGTAACAACTCACTTTGAAAGCACCAGTCAACGCTCACCATTGGCCATGGTCTAGTGAAGTTTAATAGTTTGTATAAGTACACAGACCATTAAAACAAAAACCAAATCAGCGTTTAAAAGCCTCTTAGGGCTTCCCTGGTGGCACAGTGGTTGGGAGTCCGCTTGCCGATGCGGGGGACATGGGTTCGTGCCCCGGTCTCGGAGGATCCCGCATGCCGCGGAGCGGCTGGGCCCGTGAGCCCTGGCCGCTGAGCCTGCGTGTCCAGAGCCTGTGCTCTGCAATGGGAGAGGCCACAGCAGTGAGAGGCCCACGTACCGCAAAAAAAAAAAAAAAAAAAAAAAAAAAAAGCCTCTTAAATTTTCACTTGATGCTTGCCTGCAATTCACATATATATCTGGGAGCAGTTCTCAACTCTTTATTTTTTGGGGGGGTGTTTATTTTCGAATAAATGTCAGTGAAAAAAATAAAAGATCGTTTCCAATAGGGGAAATATTAAATTTTAAAAAAATGTATTATTCCCTGATCTCCCCCAGTAGGCATACCAGGTCCCCGTCCATTTGATATAGATGTTATATAAAACTTCCTTAGCTCCTTACCTTAAAATATTTTTATTTGCAGGTGAATTTCTGAAGGCAGGAGTTGTGAGAAACTACTTCTCTCTTGTTCTCTGTGATGCACTGCTATGGTCTCTAGAAACTGCACAGGCAAGTTATCAGAGCAGGTTTGAACCAGATGTGTGTGTGTGTGTGTGTGTGTGTGTATGTGTGTGTGTGATAAAAATGTTAATGTTTTGGGTTTCAAAAAGAAATACAACTTAAAGGAGCCAAAGAATCCTGAGAAGAGCATTCTTTCCAAATCTTTAAATGGCAGTGTCATTGGTCATTGGAAGTCCCTTTCCTCACTGGAGGCTCTCTCTATAAATCTATATAAAATGTCATCGTTATCACTTATATATGTAAATGATACATATAATGATATATACACAAAATATAAATAAACATCACTTATGTATATATGACATATTTATATATAGGATGACATATATATATATATATAGAGAGAGAGAGAGAGAGAGAGAAATACACACATATAACTAAAGCCGAAGATCCTTTTTTTCATCTAACTCTTGCATCTTATTCACTAGACCACACAGTTTTGTTATCACCCCCGTAACTTTTGAGACAGTGCATACAATCAACAAGATTAATTCCCTTCCCCAATCTGGTCACTTGGTTTGTGTTAATGTAGCTCTGCTTGTAAACTGGAGACTACATGTTTAGAAAATCTAAATTTACATTTCACACTACACCTCTTACATAAATTTTTCTTCCTCCCATTTTGCTTTAGCTTTCCTTCCCATGGCCCTAGAGAAGTAAATCAAAAAGAAGGAATGCATCTGTTGTCATATGAACCCAGCTCAAGGGAAATTGAATTCCTCCAGAATGAGCTAGGGAACCAATTAAACCCTGAAACAAAAATGGGCTGCCTTTCGAAATTGATACAAAGAGGGTGGTTGGTAGAAACAAGCAGCTTTTTGGATTGCTAAAGTTTTAGTCATAGTAATTCTTCTAAGAATAACATTTTAGCTGGTTTTTAAAAAAATTTTAGTTTGACAATTTATTTCTGTGTTACCAACCAATATTTCCCTTAAAACGTCTTAGAATTCAAAAACTACAAATGTGCTCTAATTCACTCTACACATATTTAAGTTTCTCCCGCAGTCAAGCCGTTGTTCTGGATCCTTGGGATATGTATCCCAGGCCTCCTGGAATTTTCAGGCTGAAGTTGCAGGACCAGAACTAGGATGAGGCATGTAACTTACTGGTTTTCTGCAAAAATATTTGAAGGGTGTCCTAAAATTCAGTTAAGATTAATAATATTTTAATGCAATACTTAAGCAATAAAATTAGTGCAAAAATTCATGATGAACAAGATGTTAAAAATTTAAAGACAACGAAGTAATCACGCTTTGTAAATATCGAAATGCAGCTATTATTAGGACAATGAAGGGTAGGTACTGGGTGTTAAGAGAGCCCAGAATAGGAGACTGTGACGGAATCAGGAAGTTCAGGAAGATTTCCCTAGAGCTGCTGTGATCTGAAGGTGGTCAGCTGAGAGGGGACATCTTCCTGATAGTGGATGGAATACCTATGAAGGCAAGGGGAACAAGAGGGGATGTGCAGTGCCAGACCCCCAGCCCTTGTAGGTCATGGTAAGAAGTTAGATCTTCATGCCAAGAGCAATGGGAATGGAATATTTTAAGAACACATGTGTCATGTATAGTCGATGCATATTAACCTTAAACTTGTAAAACATTGTTTCATTGTTGGAGCTTCAGTCTATCTCTATTTGACTTAGCGAATTAAATGTTTTACATGCAATGTCTCATTTTATCTTGAAATCAGATTTACAAAATGATTATATTACTATTGTTATTATTATCATCGTTTTATTAGTATTTTAACATGAGAATTCTGAGGCACAAAGAAAGTTTACACACTGGTAAGTAGCTAAACTCAGATTAGAACTTGAGTGTGCTTAATTCATTGAGATATAGCATTTTATATTATGGTATTTTACAAACTCCATGGGTATAGTTTTCATAAAAAGCCTACTGCATTATTATTTTCTGTAATTTATAATGCCTTTTTACATACTTATTTGATCTTGATAGAAAGCTTATGAGTTGTTATTACCTATTTTATGGATAAGGAAATGGGAAGTCAGTAATGACAAATGCCTTATTCAAAGCCACAGAGGTATTAGTTTATGGGCCAGAGTTTACAACCTAAGTCTTGCTATCTTGACACAAAGTTTAAAGGCAAAGTTAATTTTCCAAGTTCAGTCAGTTGTTTAAAGAGCTTTTGAAATGTAGTTTTAGAGTTTCCATTCAGAAAAAGCCAGGCAATAATAAATGTTTCTGCTTGGAATTTGATGTCTTAGTAGAATAAGATTTTTATGAGGGTATATTCAGGTACATTTTGACTGCATTTTTAAAAAAACTGAGATGTAATTAACATATATGTGTTGCAAGTACACAACATAATGATTTGATATATGTGTGTATTGCAAAATGAGCAATGCAATAAGTCTGGTTAAATCCATCTAGTTAACTTTTATGTGTACAAAGTTACAAATTTTTTTTCTTGTGATGAGAACTTTTAAGATCTATTCTCTTAGCAACTTTCAAATACACGTACAGCACAGTATTATTAACTATAGTCACCATTACATCCTCAGGACTTGTTTTATAACTAGAAGTTTGTACCATTTGACCACCTTTACCAGGCTGGAGGTGGGGGATGAGTAGGCATGGGGGCGCATAAAATGGGAGAAGATGGGCTCTGCATTAAAACAAAATCTAAATGGAAGCTGTCTGGTACTTCACACTGAGCAGAATGAGACTTGTATCCAAATCTCGTATATTTTCAACAGTCTTTATGCTCTTTAGATGAAAGCTATAACCACATAAACATTGTCATGTTTCATTTTCTTTGTGAGAATTTAGCAGTGAGCCTCACTGCAGGAGCTAAAGACTATTTTTTAGACCACAGATTCTCCCTGGACTTTGACAATGATCCGTGAATGTTATTATTTGGCAGTTTCATAAGATCCTTTCTTCCTCTTAAGAATGGACTATGCACATAATTCCCTTCCTATTAAGGGACCTATTAAAATTGGGCTCACCTGGAGAAAATTTCAGAGCTTGATCTAACTTACTTTAGGTAATTTCTCATTTTTCCATAAAAATTTATGAGTCAACCTCAGATGTGTTTTTTTTTTTAACTTTTTTTTTTTTTTTTTGGCTGTGGGTCTTTGTTGCTGCTCACGGGCTTTCTCTAGTTGTGGCGAGCGGGGACTACTCTTCGTTGCGGTGCGCGGGCTGCTCATTGTGATGGCTTCTCTCTTTTTTTTTTAAAAGGGTAGAATAAATTTTTATTATACATCATTTTTATTTTTAAAAAAACTTTACCTTCATAGAATACATTTTCACATTAGAGATTCCCACAGTGGGAAAACAACAACTTATTACTTATAATTTTATATTTGTGGACAGATTATTTTAGGACAAGTAAAATAAACACATTTGAGGATTAAGTCTCCATTTAGAACCAGTAACAATTTGAAACATCTATAAAGGGACCTCTTCCCTCCATGAAACTTATCTATATTCAGAAACTCTCCAGGCTCTTCTTCCTAGGATTTAGAAATCAGTAATGTGAAATATCAGCATTTATAATTTTCAAATCTCCCTAGGACACGTAACCATCAGTAACTGGTATCGACTGAACGGTGTGGGGGGGGATGTTTACAAAAACAAAACACTGCCTAATTTTCTGCAAAGTCTTTACTTATGAATTAACAGTCGTTCCCTTTCTCCATCATTCTAGGACAAATATAGAAGTGTGATCAAATATTGAGAGTTATAAAGCTGAATTCCCTTTAAAAGTCTGATAAATTAACAGACAAAGGCTCATATATAATGTTTAGTTATACTGTGAGTCTTCTGAGAAGCTGTGAGACACCGCATTAACTCTCCAGAATACAAAGCTCAGTCTCACAATTTCTTGGATACAATTTCTCTCAAATCTTTCTTCAAAGATTAAACTCTAAAAATAACCGGCTGATTAGGAGAAGAGGTTTATCAGCGGGACTAATCTGTTACTTCCTTCTTATTGTGAGTTGAAATGGCATGACAGAGCAGAGGCAAGGAGGTGTACAATCAATTCTTTTTTTTTTTAAAGATTCAGGATTACTTCTTTATTTTTATTTTATTTATTTATTTTTGGCTGCATTGTGTCTTCGTTGCTGTGCACAGGTTTTCTCTAGTTGCGGCGAGCGGGGGCTACTCTTCGTTGCAGTGCGTAGGCCTTTCACTGCGGTGGCTTCTCTTGTTGCAGAGCACGGGATCTAGGTCCGCAGGCTTCAGTAGTTGTGGCTCGCGGGCTCTAGAGCGCAGGGTCAGTAGTTGGGGCGAACGGGCTTGGTTGCTCCGCGGCCTGTGGGATCTTCCCGGGCCAGGGCTTGAACCTGTGTCCCCTGCGTTGGCAGGCGGATTCTTAACTACTGCGCCACCAGGGAAGCCCAATGTACAATCACTTCTCAAGGTGTTAAGTCTAAAGGGTCAGAGCTTCCACAGCATAGCCACAGCTTTGCAGATGCCCACATCATGATAGTTGAAATAACAAAGCCCAACAAAGGTGAACGCCGAGAGCACCAAAAAGCCTGCCTTGGCAGCTTTCTGCAATGCAGCCCCTTGAACATAGTCAGTAACAACTTGTCCAACGCCCCAGTGACTATGAAGAGTGAGGGCTGCAGCCAGAGAGTAGTCCACCGCAGAGCAAGGATTCAAATAAGCAGCTGGAATTAGGCCCAGGAGCAAAACACTGACAACCCTCTCACCAGTCCAGTGGAGAGATGCAACCTTGGAACCAGAATGGTGGCTGGGTGACAGGTGAATGTGCTGTATTCCACAGCATCCTGGGGTTGATCAGTCCTGGAGAAATGCTGAGGCATGAGCTGGTCTGACCACTGGGGTTCGGAGGAAGAGAGCTCGCCGACCTCTGGCACCGCAGAGGACACTCAGCCTCCAGAGAGTCGCCATGTCGCTCGGAAAGGCCTGTGGTGGCTTCTCTTGTTGTGGCGCACGGGCTCTAGGTGCACAAGCTTCAGTAGTTGAGGTGCACAGGCTCAGTAGTTGTGGCTCACGGGCTCTAGAGCACAGGCTCAGTAGTTGTAGTGCACAGGCTTAGTTGCTCCGCGGCATGTGGGATCTTCCCGGACCAGGGATCCAACCCGTGTCCTCTGCATAGACAGGTGGATTCTTAAACAGTGCGCCACCAGGGAAGCCCTAAACTTTATTGTTTTGAGATATTTGGGGGTTTATGGAAGAGCTGCAAAGACAATACAGGGAGTTCTCATATTTCTCTTCACCATCTTCCCTTAATGTTAATATCTTACATGACCAGTGTACATTTAGCAAGATGAAGAAATCAACATTGGTACAATACTATTAACTAAACTCCAGATTTTATTTGGACTTTGCCAGTTTTTCCAATAATCTCCTTTTAAAAAAAATCTGTTCTAGGATCCAATCCAGATTCCATTTTGTATTTAGAAGATAGTTAATGCACAGACATGAGCTCCACAATCTAACCCCAGTTCTAGCCCAGAAAATGTAATTTTTGTCTTGGAATATCCTAACATCACCCCTCCCATAAAATTCACCCCGAGCTTGATTCCAAGCTTATACCTCTCTTAAGACTCAAATCAAGAATCACCACCTCTCAGGAAACCTTTCTTTTGGAAACTCAATGCCATCTCTCTCTATATAGAGTTACTTGGCTTTTAGGAATATATTCTATATGATCAGCCATTTAACATTACCTTTAGAGATTTTTTTGTATGTGTAATGTGGTAAGTAGAAAACCAATAAAATGCATATCTGTACAGGAGAAGATCATTGTGGCACGTTGGATGCTCCAGGCTTTTTAAGGTCTATATATACTCTAAATAGGAATATGGTAGGACAATTTGGTTACGAAACGGTTTTGTATTATTTTTGAAGTGGTGAGAATAAATAATGAATGTCAGCCTGTAAGTATTACTGGTTCTGCCTTATTTGGGAAAAAAAAAAAAAAAGAAATGTATTAAAACATAATTGTGGACTACACAGTCATAAATAATCATTTTGTTTTTGTTTGTTTTTTTGGAATTTTTAAGATCTAAATTCATGTTGTTCAAACTATGACTTGGAATCACTGGGTGAGTATTTTGTCATTGCCAAAAAAGTTTGAAAACTGCAGCTCTAAATAATTTGTTTACATATATGGTTAGAAGTGTATCAAAATGGGTAAATATGTAAACATCAGTGCTTCAAACAATCTTTGCTTTATTTATTTATTTATTGAAGTAGAGTTGATTTGCAGTGCTGTGCCAATCTCTGCTTTTACTCATAGAGACATTCTTTTTCATATTCTTTTCCATCATGGTTTATCACAGGAGATTGGATATAGTTCCCTGTGCTATATAATAGCACCTTGTTTATCCATTCTAAATGTAATAGTTTGCATCTCTCAACCCCAAACTCTCACTCCATCCCTCTCTCTTCCCTCCTCCCCCTTGGCAACCACAAGTCTGTTCTCTATGTCTATTTCTTTCTTTTTTTTTTTTTTGCGGTACGTGGGCCTCTCACTGTTGTGGCCTCTCCCGTTGCGGAGCACAGGCTCCGGATGCGCAGGCTCAGTGGCCGTGGCTCACGGGCCCAGCCGCTCCACGGCATGTGGGATCTTCCCGGACCGGGGCACGAACCCATGTCCCCTGCATCGGCACTGCGCCACCAGGGAAGCCCTGCGCCACCAGGGAAGCCCTGACTGTTTCTGTTTTGTAGATAGGTTCGTTTGTGCCATATTTTAGATTCCACATATAGGTGATATCATATGGTATTTGTCTTTCTTTTTCTGACTTACTTCACTTAGTACGATAATTTCTAGTTGTATCCATGTTGCTGCAAATGTCATTATTTTGTTCTTTTTTATGGTTGAGTAGTATTCCATAAACAATCTTTATTTAGAACTTAAATACTTTATGTTTTCTTTTTTAGCTAAAACTCCCAAATGTGCTATAATGCAAGTTGGTTTAGGTAATCTACTTTATATAATTAGACAGTGTAGGTCCTCATTTCTCCAGTTATACTTTGTTGTTCTGTCCCCAAGAAAATGAAGTATATAAGAATTAGTTTTTTAGCTACATCCATCTTTTTGACTTGCAACATTTAATATTTTGAGTAGTTTGTTAAAATTGTAGAAAGCCGTAGAATGTAACACAGAACCCAGAAACAGGCCTGTACACATGGGATAACCTGACAGATCTACGTTCCCCCAAACTTTATGTTCAAATCTAATCCCCAGTGTGATGGCATTTGGAGGTGGCACCTTTGGGAAGAAATTGGGTCATGAAGGTGGAGCCCTTGTGAATGGGATTAGTGCCCTTATAAAAAGAAGCCAAGAGCTGGCTTATTCTCTTCCCGTCACTGTGAGGATACAATGAGAAGTTGGCTGTCTGCAACTCAAAAGAGGGCTTTCACCAGAACCAGCCATGCTGATGCCATAATCTTGGGCTTTCAGCTTCTAGAACTATGAGAAGTAAATACCACTTGATGGTATTTTATTATAGCAGCCTGAGTTGACTGAGGCACTAACTCATGAGAAAGGTGACAGTGGGAAAAGGCTAGTATTTTCAGAAACAATACTGAGACAGCTATACATGTGGCAAATTAGAATCTTGACTCCTAACTCACATTGCACACATAAATAAGTTCCAGACTGTAGCTATAACTATGGATTGTAGATATAATTGTGGAAGGTAAATACAACTTTGAGAAGGAAATGGAAAAATAGCTTAACTTTAGGGTTGAGAATGATTTCTTATTCGATATACAAAAGTACTGAATATAAAGGAAAAGAAAGAGATAAGTTGGATGAGATTGAAATTATGAACTTTAAGAGGTACCACTGAAAGAATGAAAAGGTATATCCCAGTGATTTTTTTAAAAAAGGTAAATAAGATGCTGCTTCCTCCAACGGTTTTCCATCTCCTTTAGAAAAAAATCCAAATTTCTTCCTATCTTAGAAGACACCATGTGATCTGGTCTCCACCCACCCTCCTGCCTTAACTGTGCTCCTTTTCCTCTCAAGCCAAACCATCATCCTTGTTCTTCCACGGCTTATCTTTCTTCTTTCTGAAGTTGGAGACCCCAGATTATCACAAACCTGGTTCTTTGCTTCATTCTGATTTCAGCTTCAGTGGTAGGGAGGGACCAGTGTACATGAGTTTCCTCAAATGCTAGGGTATGTCCATGTCCTTCATGACACTTTTCACTATAGAAGGTATTATTAACTGCCCTAGTGCTGGAGGAGAATACAGGTAGAAGAGAGGCAGCCCAGGACCAAATTTCAATTGCCCCACTTAAGGTGTAGTCTGCAAATAACAGAGGACAAAGTATGACATGAGTGGATTTTCTGCATAGTACTCATCAAGTTTCTTCAGTTCTGCTGGGATTTTTTGGACGAATACAAAGGCTCCTGGCAGAGGTTTCAGGGTATATGTTTACTTTTCTACAGAGGGAGCCAAGAAACCACTGCCATGGTAGCATACCAGCAATGTGTTCCTTGCTGACCTAGTCCAGGAATTCTTTGGTCTTGGAATGGGTCTCAGACGTGCCTTACTGGGTAAGAATCACTTGTAGCCTCTAGTATGGGAATTCTCCTTTCCGTCCCCTAGGGTTTCACCCACAATGGCCAGGCATAAAATTCAAGAGAGATAAGTATTTTAAGAAATTGTCATAGAAAAGAATTCTCTAGTCTCAGGAGAAAATAATTTTAGCTATGGTACCAGCTAAGACCATATTCTTAGATCGCCTTTTTCTGAACTCTTCTCCTCTGTGTACCCGCTCCCCTCATTTCTTTACCAGCGTCATATTCTTACCGTCTGAGTCATTTGGGTTAAATCTCTTTAATGTTTCTAAATACTCTTTTACCATTCTCCTTACAGTATGTTCAGAGAGATAGTAAAACTGTATATTTAATATCCTTTCAATGTTGCCACTTTATTTCTAATGACATTGAATGGCTTCTGCTTTCTCAAACAATGGTGTCCCTGGGCATTTATGTCCTCTCTGCATAAGTGCCAAGGCCTCTAAACAGACACTCTGCAGCCAATCTCTTGTCTTTTTAATCCATTATTCCTACTACAACCACTTATATTCCTGAAACACTGATGATATATCTTTTGCTTCCATGACAATTTTAAATAGGTTCTAAAGCATAACAACAAAATAAAAAAGCAGAGGCTTTAGCATGTTTTTGAAGCCTTCTCTAATCTGGTTCCAACATCTTCTTCCCTTTTACTATCTACATATTAAACAATTCCAGAATTTGTCCATCTTTGGCACTTGGTCCAAATCTGGACTGCTGCCTACCATAATAAGAAAGGTTTTTACATTTTTAAATGATTGAACAAAAAAAATCAAAAGAAGAGTAATATTTCCTGGCATTGAAGATTATGTGAAATTAAAAGCTCAGTAACCATAAATAGAATGTTACTGAAACAGAACCATGCCTATTTCTATACCTATTGGATATAGCTGCTTTTTGCACTACAACAGCAGAGTTGAGTAACTATAACACAAAACCTAAAATATTTATTATCTGGCCCTTTATAGAAAAAAAGTTTACTGACTCCTGAACTATTCCATTTTAGCTAAATAGAGCAGGCTCATATACAAAATTCTGCTGTTGTTTATGTGTATCCTTAGGACTGAGCCAGTTATTTTAGTTTTCTATTTTCTCTTCACACCTGTTACTCCACACCATGGGATAAGTGTTCACCTTTTTCCTCTTTGCTTCCTCCAAACTTTTCTCTTTTCCTATACCTCACACTAACCAGCTTTGTTGAAGCTGAAGATATCAGACTATGTTAGTCACCACTACTCTTTGATGCAGTCAGATCTAAATATCCCAGTACTAATCTTAGTGACTGCAATATCCACATGGATGATTCTTCCTCACCTCAGCCACCTCATGGTCCAAACTTATCATTACCTGTAACTGCACTGGATTCATATTCTCAGTTAAAAGCATCACAGTGTGTGATCATCACTCCAGTCTTCCTGGATCACTTCCAGTACATCTAATCCAACAATCTGCAATCCAGCAACTCCATCGTTTCACTGTCCCTTACTGCTCTTGTTCTCACTTCCTGTCTAGTCCATCTTAGATTACATGGCCCATTATTTTATTAATTCCCTTATGTACACAGGTCATAATCCTTCATCCCAAACCCCTGAGGTCTAATCTATTTCCAGATTCAGATTAAAAACAAATTATAGAATGATAGTATATTTCCTATACCATATTATATCTGCAGTGAAACTGATGATTATGCCTAAATAAGTGGGATCAGTAAAGGCTTTGAATAGTTTTGTGTTTATTCAAGTTGAATTTTGTTGCCAAATGAGTTGTGAACAACCTTATGAAAACAAAACAAAACTTTCCTTTTTCCATGCTCTTTTTGGATTATGGAATTGCAGAAAGGGATGTGGACCTGGACCATAAACTTCCTTGTTCCATTCTCAGTCCATTTTCTTCTCCAGTAAAGCTGCCGCCCTGATAAAATGCAACTTGGCCTACTCTGAGCTTGCATCCAGGCAGCTGAGCAAAATGCACACCCCTGCTAATGGGTCTCCGGTGAAATTACAGTCCCTGATGGAGTGGGCCCTTCGTCATTTCTAGCAACATGATTCTCACCAAAAGTCATATTGCCCCCTAGAGAGTATAAGTGTTTTGTGGAGATGTTTTTGGTCTCCTAATGCTTAAGTCTGAGCATTTACATATGGGAATACATGTTATTTCATTATGCATAACTTTCCTTTTATTTCCTTATATTATGGTGATGGCATTATATTGATTTAAAAAATATATGTAGGTAGGTTAAATTAATTATTTTTATAATAGTTGCAAAGATGTTAAAGATATGTGTTATAAAAGGGAGCATTGGGTCTGATAGGGTTGAGAACAACTGCCAGAATCAATTTACCATCTCATGATTATTACTTATTTATATAATAAACTTTATTGGTTCGAGCAGTTTCAGGTCCAAAACAAAATTGAGTGAAGGTACAGAGATTTCTTGCATACCCCCTGCCCCCACTTATGCATAACCCCCTCCTCCAATTATCAGCATCCGCCACCAGAGTGGTACATTTGTTACCTACATTGATGAACCTACATTGACACATCGTAATTACCCAAGGTCCATAGTTTACAATGGATTTCACTCTTGGTGTTGTACAGTCTTTGGGTTTGGACAATTTTATAATGACACGTATCCACTGTTACAGTATCATATAGTGTAGTTCCTCTGCCCTGAAAAATCCCTGCTCATCGTTCCCTTCCCTCACGTCACGATTATTTTACATGGTCCCCTCTTTCCTCAAACATCTAACATTTTCCCCCAGTCCCTTCAGCTATCTTACTGCATTGAGAAATAAAAACAATTTGAAAAGAACCTCTAGGCATTCCACCACCCAACTCATCTACATCTATACCCAGGAACTTTGCAGCCCACTTTGGTAATATAGGTGAATTGTCTGTGCTTCAATCCAGAGCTTCCTCTTCATTTATCACTGGATGCCATTTTCTCTTGACTACTCAAGGACATTATTCAAACAATTATCCCCTCTCTCATCCATCTTTGATTTTTTTCTCTTGGCTTTGGATCATTCCCATTGGCGTGCAAGCACACTTGCTCTGGTAATGAGAATCCTAGAAATAATTCTCTTGACCTCACATTCCCTTAGTTGCTTCGCTCAACCAACCCATTTCCTTGGATTTTTCCATAGAAAACTCCTGATTTTCTTTTTCTTTCTTCTACTCAAATTAAGACCCACCAACAACTTCAACATCATCTAGGATGATGAAATGTATATAAAGAAATACAGACCTGGGAGTCTGTATTCCTACTCATAGAATACAGACTCCCAGGTCCCACTCTGGACCTATTAAATCAGAAACTGCTTTTTAGTAGGATCTCCAAGATTCACAATGACATTAAAGTCTGAGAAACACTGATATGCAGTGCTGATTTTAAATACTTCTCCTTTCTTTTTGACTTGAATCAACATCAATAAATCATTCCTTTCTACTCTCCACTGAAACAGCTCTTTTCAGGGTCACCATTTACCTCCACATTGCTAAATCCAAAGGTCAGTTTTCACTGCTCATCTTACTAGATCTATGCATCATTTGACATGGTTGGAATGTCTGCTTATTGTGCCTCCTCACCTTCAAGGTCATTAACATCCTTGTGCAGGGGGCTCAATCCTTGGGCCTTTTTTCTTCCTTACACTTATTCCCCAACTGATTTTATCAGGTTCTTTCCACAGCCTTTAATACTGTCTATTGATATGGTGCCTCATGTTTCATATTTCAAGGCTTAAGTCAAATATTCACTTCTCACTGCAACATTTACAGATTCTTGTAGCAGAAATTAATCACCCTTTCTTCAAAGTGATTATTTCCATCACCTTGTACTTCTGCTTTCTCAATTTTTCAATTTTACTTTATAGTTTATTTGTAAGCTCTATTTTTTTTTTTTTTTTTTTTTGGCCACACTACGCAGCATGTGGGATCTTAGTTCCTTGACCAGGAATTGAACCTGAGCCCTCTGCATTGGGAGCGCGAGTCTTAACCACTGCACTGCCAGGGAAGTCCTGTAAGCTCCTTGATGACAGGATTGATATCATATTCATTTATATACACCCACATTTTATTCTGCTATTTAAAAAAAGACTTATTGCTCATGTAACCAGTGCTCAATAAGTGCTTATTAAAGAGAAATTTTCCTTCCTTTTAGGAATGTATGATGGGCTTAAACTTTCTATGTGTAGTTTGCTCTTGGATCATGGAAATCTGCACCTACACTCCCTTTATTCTCGACTATCCTCATGAAAGTAGTCTACAGTGATCTTTTCTTGTAAAGAGCTAAAAATGTAGGCAAAAGAAGAGATAATTGAACACCAACTGGGTTTGCAAAGCAGCCTTTTCACATAAAATCAGACACCCGTAGAGTACTGCATACACAGCAACTACTTGGAGGGACACAGTCTACAGACTATATCATGGAAATCAGATCATTAGAATGTTCTTCTTTTTTTTAAAATTTTATTTATTTTTTTATAAGCAGGTTCTTATTAGTCATCCAGTTTATACACATCAGTGTATACATGTCAATCCCAGTCACCCAATTCATCATGCCACCCCCCCCACCCCCCTGCCGCTTTCCCCCCTTGGTGTCCATACGTTTGTTCTCTACATCTGTGTCTCAATTTCTGCCCTGCAAACCGGTTGATCTGTGCCATTTTTCTAGGTTCCACATATATGCGTTAATATACGATATTTGTTTTTCTCTTTCTGACTTACTTCACTCTGTATGACAGTGTCTAGATCCATCCACGTCTCAACAAATGACCCAATTTCGTTCCTTTTTATGACTGAGTAATAGTCCATTGTATATATGTACCACATCTTCTTTATCCATTCATCTGTCGATGGTCATTAAGGTTGTTTCCATCACCTGGCTATTGCAAATAGTGCCACAATGAATATTGGGGTGCATGTGTCTTTTTGAATTATGGTTTTCTCTGGGTATATGCCCAGTAGTGGGATTGCTGGATCATATGGTAATTCTGTTTTTAGTTTTTTAAGGAACCTCCATACTATTCTCCACAGTGGCTGTATCAATTTACATTCTCACCAACAGTGCAAGAGGGTTCCCTCTTCTCCACACCCTCTCCAGCATTTGTTGTTTGTAGATTTTCTGATGATGCCCATTCTAACTGGTGTGAGGTGATACCTCATTGTAGTTTTGATTTGCATTTCTCTAATGTTTAGTGATGTTGAGCAGCTTTTCATGTGCTTCTTGGCCATCTGTATGTCTTCTTTGGAGAAATGTCTATTTAGGTCTTCTGCCCATTTTTGGACAGGACTGTTTGTTTTTTTTAATATTGAGCTGCATGAGCTGTTTATATATTTTGGAGATTAATCCTTTGTCCGTTGATTCGTTTGCAAATATTTTCTCCCATTCTTAGGGTTCTCTTTTTGTCTTGTTTATGGTTTCCTTTGCTGTGTAAAACCTTTGAAGTTTCATTAGGTCCCATTTGTTTATTTTTGTTTTTATTTCCACTACTCTAGGAGGTGGATTAAAAAAGATCTTGCTGTGATTTATGTTAGAGTGTTCTTCCTATGTTTTCTTCTAAGAGTTTTATAGTGTCCGGTTTTACTTTTAGATCTCTAATCCATTTTGAGTTTATTTTTGTGTATGGTGTTAGGGAGTGTTCTAATTTCATTCTTTTACATGTAGCTGTCCAGTTTTCCCAGCACCACTTATAGAAGAGACTGTCTTTTCTCCATTGTAAATCCTTGCCTCCTTTGTCATAGATTAGTTGACCATAGGTATGTGGGTTTATCTCTGGGCTTTCTATCTTGTTCCATTGATCTATGTTTCTGTTTTTGTGCCAGTACCATATTGTCTTGATTACTGTAGCTTTATAGTATAGTCTGAAGTCAGGGAGTCTGATTCCTCCAGCTCTGTTTTTTTCCCTCAAGACTGCTTTGGCTATTTGGGGTCTTTTGTGTCTCCATACAAATTTTAAGATTTTTTGTTCTAGTTCTTTAAAAAATGCCATTGGTAATTTGATAGGAATTGCATTGAATCTGTAGATTGCTTTGGGTAGTATAGTCATTTTCACAATTTTGATTCTTCCAATCCAAGAACATGTTATATCTCTCCATCTGTTGGTATCATCCTTAATTTCTTTCATCAGTGTCTTATAGTTTTCTGCAAAGAGGTCTTTTGTCTACCTAGGTAGGTTTATTCTTAGGTATTTTATTCTTTCTGTTACGATGGTAAATGGGAGTGTTTCCTGAATTTCTCTTTCAGATTTTTCATCATTAGTGTGTAGGAATGCAAGAGATTTCTGTGCATTAATTTTGTATCCTGCAGCTTTACCAAATTCATTGATTAGCTCTTGTAGTTTTCTGGTGGCATTTTTAGGATTCTCTATGTATAATATCATGTCATCTGCAAACAGTGGCAGTTTTACTTCTTCTTTTCCAATTTGTATTCCTTTTATTTCTTTTTCTTCTCTGATTGCCATGGCAAGGACTTCCAAAACTATGTTTAATCATAGTGGTGAGAGTGGACATCCTTGTCTTGTTCCTGATTTTAGAGGAAATGCTTTCAGTTTTTCACCATTGAGAATGATGTTTGCTGTGGGTTTGTCATACGTGGGCTTTATTATGTTGACATAGTTTCCCTCTATGCCCACTTTCTGGAGAGTTTTTATCATAAATGGGTGTTGAATTTTGTCAGAAGCTTTTCTGCATCTATTGAGATGATCACATGGTTTTTATTCTTCCATTTGTTAATATGGTGTATCACATTGATTGATTTGCGTATATTGAAGAATCCTTGCATTCCTGGGATAAATCCCACTTGATCATGGTGTATGATCCTTTTAAAGTGTGGTTGGATTCTGTTTGCTAGTGTTTTGTTGAGGATTTTTGCATCTATAATCATCAGTGATATTGGTCTGTAATTTTCTTTTTTTGTAGTATTTTTGTCTGGTTTTGGTATCAGGGGGATGGTGGCCTCGTAGAATGAGTTTGGGAGTGTTCCTTCCTCTGCAGTTTTTTGGAAGAGTTCGAGAAGGATGGGTTTTAGCTCTTCTCTAAATGTTTGATAGAATTCACCTGTGAAGCCATCTGGTCCAGGACTTTTGTTTGTTGGAAGATTTTTAATCACAGTTTCAATTTCATTACTCTTGATTGGTCTGTTCATATTTTCTATTTCTTCCTGGTTCAGTCTTGGAAGGTTATACCTTTCTAAGAATTTGTCCATTTCTTCCAGGTTGTCCATTTTTTTGGCATAGGGTTGCTTTTAGTAGTCTCTTAGTATGCTTTGTATTTCTGTGGTGTCTGTTGTAACTTCTCCTTTTTCATTTCTAATTTTATTGATTTGAGTCCTCTCCCTCTTTTTCATGGTGCATCTGGCTAATGGTTTATCAATTTTGTTTATCTTCTCGAAGAACCAGCTTTTAGTTTCATTGATCTTTCCTATTGTTTTCTTTGTTTCTATTTCATTCATTCTGCTCTGATCTTTATGATTTCTTTCCTTCTGCTAACTTTGGGTTTTGTTTGTTCTTCTTTGTCTAGTTCCTTCCGGTGTAAGGTTAGATTGTTTATTTCAGATTCTTCTTGTTTCTTGAGGTAGGCTTGTATAGCTATAAACTTCCCTCTTAGAACTGCTTTTGCTGCATCCCATAGGTTTTGGATCGTCGTGTTTTCATTGTCATTTGTCTCTAGGTATTTTTTGATTTCCTCTTTGATTTCTTCAGTGATCTCTTGGTTATTTGGTAATGTATTGTTTAGCCTCCATGTGTTTGTGTTTCTTACGTTTTTTTCCCTGTAATTCATTTCTAATCTCATAGCGTTGTGGTCAGAAAAGATGCTTGATGTGATTTCAATTTTCTTAAATTGACTGAGGCTTGATTTGTGACCCAAGATGTGATGTATCCTGGAGAATGTTCTGTGTGCACTTGAGAAGAAAGTGTAATCTGCTGTTTTTGGATGGAATGACCTATAAATACCAGTTAAATCTGTCTGGTCTGTTGTGTCATTTAAAGCTTCTGTTTCCTTATTTATTTTCATTTTGGATGAGCTGTCTATTGGTGTAAGGGAGGTGTTAAAGTCCCCCACTATTTTTGTGTTACTGTCGATTTCCTCTTTTATATCTGTTAGCAGTTGCCTTTTGTATTGAGGTGCTCCTATGTTGGGTGCATATATATTTATAATTGTTGTATCTTCTTCTTGGATTGATCCCTTGATCATTATGTCGTGTCCTTCCTTGTCTCTTGTAACATTCTTTATTTTAAAGTCTATTTTATCTGATATGAGTATAGCTACTCCAGCTTTCTTTTGATTTCCATTTGCATGGAATATATTTTTCCATCCCCTCACTTTCAGTCTGTATGTGTCCCTAGGTCTGAAGTGGGTCTCTTGTAGATAGCATATATATGGGTCTTGTTTTTGTATCCATTCAGCAAGCCTGTTTCTCTTGGTTGGAGCATTTAATCCATTCACATTTAAGGTAATTATCGATATGTATGTTCCTATGACCATTTTCCTAATTGTTTTGGGTATGTTTTTGTGGGTCTTTTTCTTCTCTTGTGTTTTCCACCTAGAGAAGTTCTTTTAGCATTTGTTGTAGAGCTGGTTTGGTGGTGCTGAATTCTCTTAGATTTTGCTTGTCTGTAAAGCTTTTGATTTCTCCATCAAATCTGAATGAGATCCTTGCTGGGTAGAGTAATATTGGTTGTAGGTTCTTCCCTTTCATCACTTTAAGTGTATCAAGCCGCTCCCTTCTGGCTTGTAGAGTTTCTGCTGAGAAATCAGCTGTTAACCTTATAGGAGTTCCCTTGTATGTTATTTGTCCTTTTTCCCTTGCTGCCTTCAATATTTTTAAATTTTTGCCAATTTGATTACTATGTGTCTAGGCGTGTTTCTCCTTGGGTTTATCCTGTATGGGACTCGCTGCGCTTCCTGTACTTGGGTGGCTATTTCCTTTCCCATGTTAGGGAAGTTTTCGACTATAATCTCTTCAAATATTTTCTCTGTTCCTTTCTCTCTCTCTTCTCCTGGGACCCCTATAATGTGGATGTTGTTGCGTTTAATGTTGTCTCAGAGGTCTCTTAGGCTCTCTTCATTTCTTTTCATTCTTTTTTCTTTATTCTGTTTGGCATCAGTGAATTCCACCATTGTGTCTTCCAGGTCACTTATCTGTTCTTCTGCCTCAGTTATTCTGCTATTGATTCCTTCTAGTGTAGTTTTCATTTCAGTTATTGTATCGTTCATCTCTGTTTGCTTGTTCTTTAATTCTTTTAGGTCTTTGTTAAACATTTCTTGCATCTTCTGGATCTTTGCCTCCGTTTTTTTTCCGGGGTTCTGCATCATCTTCACTATCATTATTCTAAATTCTTTTTCTGGAAGGTTGCCTGTCTCCACTTCATTTAGTTGTTTTTCTGGGGTATTTTCTTGTTCCTTCATCTGGTACATAGCCCTCTGCCTTTTCATCATGTCTGTCTTTCTGTGAATGTGTTTTTTGTTCCACAGGCTGCAGGATTGTAGTTCTTGCTTCTGCTGTCTGCCCTCTCTAGAATGTTCTTCTTTCAGATCTTTCCATGGTTGGCTCTCTCTCTCATCATTTGCATCTCAGCTCTCATGAGATCAGCACATAAAGGTTTTTCCTAATCATCCTGTGTAAAATAGTACTTTCAGTCTCCCTGTCTCCTATTATGTTGTTTTAGTTTAGTCATTTACTTATGACTGTCTGAAATTATTTATATGTATGGATTTCATTGTCCATTTCCTACCCCCGTGGAATGTGAGCTCTGTAACTGTAGAAAATTTACATCTTTGTGTTCTGTGGTTATCGGTAGACACAGTGCCTGGCACATAGTATGTGATCAATAAATATTTATTGAGTGAATGAATAAATACATCTTAAGGACAGGAAAACCTCTTTGGTCCTGAACCCCATCTGCAGAGTTTGAATTATAAATCATATATTATTATAACCTGGTGATAAGGAGATAAGGAGAAAGGAGAAGAATATTAATAATGGATGGGCTACTGACAGCATTTGAAAGACTTGGACTGACGTCTTTTGGATTTTGAGTTGGCAAATTCTTTAGAAATATCTACCAAGCTAAGATGAAAATATTTTACTAGGAATTTTGAAGTAGGTATTAAACAAATACTCTCTGATGGACTAATTCAGCCATTTATTTGGCAGAAGTGATATATAAGTATCTAGTATAATTTATTTTCCAGAGCCCATGATTGGAACCCCAAAACTCTATAAAGGGTTATAATAGAGCATTTTAAACTAATGTATGATCTCAGATCAGCAGCATTACATTACCTGGGAGCCTGTTAGAAATGAAAGTGTTTAGTCCTCACTCCAGATCTACTGAGGGCAAAGATTGCAGCTGAGGGTGAGGGCCGTCTGGACAGTGAGTAAAGGGAGCAAGTTATGCAAAGGAGGCTTAAGAGTTATTCATTTTCACCTCATGGTTAAAATAAGCAACTTGGATGAACACACACGTCATTAAGTCTAGCGACTAGTGTAAGATAGCATGGGTGTTTGGCATTACCTAGAGAATGGAGGACAAGTCTATTTTGTGACTTGATTATAATGAATCACATTTTTTTTTCCATTGAGAGTTTTAACTCAGGGTATGAGTTTCCTCAAGGCTTTTCAGTACCTTTGGGGAGAGGGTAAGTCAGAAAGTGATAGGTTTGCTTCTATGTACTAGGTCAACTTTGGTAGCCAAGGAGACAGAAGGAAGGAAATAGCTTGGAGAAATGGAAAAAGAAATTTGCCTTTGTGGAGGTTGTATGGAATAAAGGTTGTTGAAATAGATTCTTTTATATATATATATATATATATATATATATATGAAGGGATTTTCTTTTCCCTTGGTGAGGAAGAACATAAATTGTTTCACAGATGTTGTTTGGTAAAGAAGAAAAGAACTGAAATTGTGTTCACATAGACCTTTGGAGTGGGCAGTGGATCCATATCCTGAAATAAAAATTCAGAAGTAAATAGATCTAGGCTTGGGCTGCCCTGGTGGTGCAGTGGTTAAGAATCCGCCTGCCAATGCAGGGAACGCGCGTTTGAGCCCTGATCTGGGAAGATTCCACATGCCGCAGAGCAGGTAAGCCCGTGCACCACAACTACTGAGCCCACGTGCCACAACTACTGAAGCCCATGTGCCTAGAGCCCGTGCTCCGCAACAAGAGAAGCCACAGCAATGAGAAGCTTGAGCAGCACAATGAAGAGTAGCCCCCGCTTGCCGCAACTAGAGAAAGCCTGCATCCAGCAACGAAGACCCAGCGCAGCTAAAAGTAAAATAAATAGTTTAAAAAAAATAAAAGATATAGATCTAGGCTTATTTGCTTACATCTGGGAAGCTGTGGGGATTTACTGATGCACTATATTGCCATGACATCTTTATGAAGTCAACTTTAAGCTTTCCTGTATTTTTAATTAGCAGTCATTTAGCCAATGCCTTCATTCCTTGGCAGCAGTGGACTTAAATGCTTATGGAATAAAAAATGAATAATGCCCTCTTCTCTAAACATCCCAGACTGACCAAGAAGAGATAATCATTCTCTGCATGTCATAGATTTTTCTTAAGCAGAGTTTGGAGAAATGGAGTTTCACACTCCCATCACCAATATTCCTTCAGTTTTAACAATCTGCCTGACACAGGTCCTGATATAATGCTTTGTACTTAGTAGCTTTTCTTTACTGTTCAGCCCCACAGTAACTGTAGTCAGTGAATCCTGATGGTGTCGAATCAAAAATGGAAAGTCAGAACTCAGAAGAGCAGTCTTTGAGAGTCCATTTCTGTTAGAGACTTTTCACTCAAATCCACAGCTGTCTTAATCTGTGTACAATTTGGATGGAAAGGGGAAAGACGAGGAGAGCGGAGAGGACTTTTTGGTGGGTTAATCGTGTGGTGCATCCTTTCCCTATAATCTCGACAAAACTTCACCTCTGACTTGGGATATGTATTAATAGAAATATTTAGTTTAGATTAGTTCATTTAGTGTTGGATGTTCTTTTTGTTAGTATGAATAATCCTATAATAAAATATAAGTAAATTGAAAAACAAATTGTAGTTGGTTTCCACTTATTAGATGCAATGAATATAACATGGCTCACTGTAGGTCTTAGGCATCTGTAGTTTCAAAAGATTGTTGATGCGTAAATGAGTAAAATATTTACATACTCTTTTTCCTCCCTTTCTAAAGTAAATTTTTAATTTTTTTAAATAAATAGGAACATATGCAATTTGTGGGTATCTTTAGCTATTCCTTCACATTTGCATACCTTCTCTATTTCAGCCGCAAGGATTAACCGTGCAGCTGCTCAATTGTAAAGCAGTGTCAGGCATGGACGCTTGATTTAGTGTGACTTTGAGCTTCTCCAGAGCTCTCTGGGCAAGACCCCCAAGGCTAAAATTATGATAAGTGAGACAAAAAGCCACTTGCTGCTTCCTTTCTGATATCTTTTTTTTTTAATTATTTTTTTAACATCTTTATTGGGGTATAATTGCTTTACAGTGGTGTGTTAGTTTCTGCTTTATAACAAAGTGAATCAGTTATACATATACATATGTTCCCATATCTCTTCCCTCTTGCGTCTCCCTCCCTCCCACCCTCCCTGTCCCACCCCTCCAGGCGGTCACATAGCACGGAGCCGATGTCCCTGTGCCATGCGGCTGCTTCCCACTAGCTATCTACCTTACGTTTGTTAGTGTGTATATGTCCATGACTCTTTCTCGCCCTGTCACAGCTCACCCTTCCTCCTCCCCATATCCTTTCTGATATCTTGAAATTATTTATTAAAAATTATTATGAATTTATTTTCTAAAAGAGATAATACATGTGTATAATACAAACACAGAGGAAACAAGGAGAACCAGAAAAAGTGTCTTTGCTACTCCTGACCTCTAACTACTCAGTTCTCTTCCCCAAAATAACTTGTTACATTGTTTTCTATGGCTTTTGTAGTCCTTTATCTCCAGATAACAATGAGCTGCATTAGATAGTTATTTTTCAAGGTTGGTATTTAATGCAGAGGCAGTCTTCATGGCTTCCCAGGCTTCCCAGGTATAAATCTGGGAGACGATTCCTGTAATCTGGCTTTTTAGGAATAAAGGAAACTCCAGAGATCCTTGAGTGCACTGGTTTCTTCCATATGGAATTAATCCTACCTATATGGAAGCAGCAAATACTCACTAAAATCCCTCTGCTTTTTGTTGAGATAGGCATTCTGAAACAGAATTTGGAAAAATGGAGTTCATGAACTTGCTAACACCATTTTCTCTCTCTTTATATGGCCCCTTAAGGCTACTGTGAAAAAATAGTACGTTCATGGGACATTTCTCACCCTTCATAGTGATTTCTAAATTTGTTTTCAGCTGTGTCCAGTAAGTTTCTGATTCCAAATTAGATTGGGTCCACATAGAGAAACTAGAAGAATTTTGTGAAACTACATGATAAATGTGATTTAAGTGATTGGAGTTTTAAATATTAACACATAAAAATTAACATCAATAAGCTGTGTATTTAAACACAAAATTCATATGGATTTTTAAGATAAAATAGAAGCCTTCAAAGAAAAATTGAGCCTGAGGAGGCATATTTTTCTCTACCACTAGAGGAAACCCTTGGAAGAGTTTGACAAGCATTGTAAAGAGATAAATCTCTGTGGAAGGTGAATAACTTGGCATATACAAAATGAAGAGCAAAGAGTAGGTGCTAAAATTGGAATGTGGGAGGTGAATGGTTCTTCAATGGCTCAGTCAGATGAACACCATTTAACGGTGTAAGTATCCATGATTGAAAAAAGATAACATTGGTAGAACCACTTGCAGCTAATATGTCCTATGTTAACAGGATTTTTAAAAATATGTGGTACAAATGAGAATATTTTTCCTACACACCTAGAAGTAAGAGAATTAAGTTCTACTGTCAAACAAATGTTGATTTTAATTAAGGAGCATTTTAATAGATGCCTCAAGAAGGTGAGTCCTGTTACCTACAGACAGATAATTTGTTCTTTGTTCTCAGGAAAATTAGAGTGGTAGTTAAATAACAGTTATTATAAGATGGTAGAGAAAAAGTATCAAAAAGCAGTTAGCTTTTTCCCCAGTGTTGGTTTACCTAAAATCCCATGATTTCCTTTGGCATTATCAATTCATTTTACTGCTCTGAGCTTCCCACCTCCCAATTCACTTATGAGATATTGCAGTATTTAAATTATTTAAATACTTAAAATATTTTACTGTATTTTTAGTATATTGATTTATATATGGTTGGATCATAACTTTAAATATCTTTATTTATAATTAACATAGAGTGTGATATATATGTAAGTGTAAATTAATGTTAATCTACAAAATAGGGGTGGCTGATTAGCGTTTGAACTACCTCAATCAGCAACCTGTGCTTGAGAGATGAACACAGTAAAGTTTCAAATATTGATATCCAAATCTAAACAGAGGGATTGGTAATTAGCAGAAGGAATATAGGGAAAATTACTTCATTGGTGAAGTGAGCAGTGTTCAAGATATGTGGTAGGTAAGAAAGGTTTTATCAGCTGAACTACCCTTGAATAAAGGAAGTAATCTTGTCAGAGTAGCCCCTGAAGTCTGGGGCTCCATTTAATCCTGTGACCCCACCCTCACAGGTAATGACTATGGACTCTGATATAAGAAAATGTGCTCATCCTGTCAGCACACTGTTGCATCTGCTTTGGAGTGAATCTTTTGTGCAACCTGCTTGTCACAGCACCCAAGGACTGAGGCTGGCAAGAGGCTATATGGCTGTTTTTCTGCCTTCTTTTTTTTTTTTTTGCTGTCCTGTGCGGCTTGCAGGACCTCAGTTCCCTGACCAGGGACTGAACCTAGATCACAGCAGTGAACACCCAGAATCCTAACCACTAGGCCACCAGGGGACTTTCCTGCCTACTTGCTGTTAGATATTTGTAGGTTTGACAAAATGAAGTCTGGGATTTGCTATCCTATAGTACACCACTTGGAAACTATCGAGTAAAGGGCAAGATGGATAGAACTAAGTAGAATCCAGCAATTGTAATGATTAGATTCTGACAATAGTCCAATGAACTAATATTTTTTACATTAGTATTGAATATTTTAGGTTTAAATACCCAACCAGGTTGGAGAGGATTTACTGTCTATCTTGGTGAATGTTCCATTTGAATTTGAAAAGAATGTGTATTTTGCTGTTGGATGGAGTCTTCTATAAAGTTCAGTTAGGATAAGTTGGTAGCTACTGCTGTTCAAGTCTTGTATATCCTCACTGATTTTCTGTCTGCTCTAGCAATTACTGAGATGAATGTTGAAGTCTCTAATAATAACTGTGCATTTGTCTATTCTTTTGTTTCTGTCAGCTTTTACTTTGTGTATTTTGAAGCTCTATAATTAGTTGTCATACATTTAGGCTTGTTACCTAGTCTTCAGGAATTAACCCTTTTATAATTATGTAATGTCCCTTTTTACCGCTGGTAATATTGCTTGCTCAGAAGTCTACTTTGTCTGATATTAATGCAGCTACTCTACTTTGTTATGATTAGTGTTTACATGGAATGTCAGGTTTTTCCTCTTGAAAAAACCTTATAACACTTTAGATGCTCTGTGACAAATTAACATCTCTAATGGTAGAAAGTGGGGAGTGTTTGGGGGAAATCTCAATCTCAGATGCTTTACTGCCACGAAATTGCATGTCACCTAATAAGTAATAGATGACTTACAGACCTATTGTCAGAACTGTTTCAGAATCCAATTCTGAGATGTAATTTGTAAGTCTGAACGTGAACCTCCTTCCTCTAAATATAATAACTCTGAATATTAAAGCCCTATGAAAAACAGTACCTTAAAATGCATCTCTTAAAAATAAATAATCTGGGGCTTCCCTGCTGGCGCAGTGGTTGAAAGTCCGCCTGCCGATTCAGGGGACGCGGGTTCGTGCCCTGGTCCGGGAAGATCCCACATGCCGTGGAGTGGCTAGGCCTGTGAGCCATGGCCTCTGAGCCTGCGTGTCCGGAGCCTGTGCTCCGCACCGGGAGAGGCCACAACAGTGAGAGGCCCGCATACCGCAAAAAAAAAAAAATCTGTTCATTTGGAGTATTTTAAAATTGAGTCTTACTATAAAAGATATAGCTATGATATAGAATGTATTTTTGCGCACAAACCTACAAAACCTGATATTGATCCTCTTTGCTGAAGCTACTGAATGGCCTTTGATATTCTTTCATGTCTTCAATAATGTATCTGTCCAATCTAATGAAATATTGTGCCTCAATTTGTTCAGGGATAATAGTACAATAAAATGCAGGCTTAAGCATGAAAACCTTGTCAGTACAATTTACTATGTTTTTTTGGTAGGTTTACAGTGCTGCAAAAAATCATGACATTATAAAGCTGTACCTATAAAGCATTAGCACATAACTCTCCTTTCTATGCTAAGCAAGTTATTAAAGAAAAAATATTAACACTAATTATGAGAAACATAATAATGTTTTATTTTTAGCATAACTGGTATCCCCCTTATTAATTAAAGCATCTTTGCTTTCGTTTTTGACGAAAAAGCAACATTTTCATTTTGTTTTACAAGCCAAAGTAAAACAAATATAATTATTGCCTCTTTCTTCTAAATCTTTAAAGAGATTACTATCATTCTCCACTTGGCAAATCTAGACTTACAAGTGAACAGCTGTTGATTTGTGTAATTTGTAAGTCTGAATTCCTTCTCTAAAGAATTTTGATCTCAGTACTTGGAATTTTTTAATCTATTAGTAGA